GTACAAAACAACCCAGTTAAAACCAACCTCACAACTAAAGGTGCCATTATAAAACAACAGACTTTGGTAAAAGAAAGCATCATGACAGAAACCAAATTTGTGATCTGCATTAATTCAAATACAGCTAGACCGTCCACTAAAATGAGCAGAACAGGTAAATCTGGAGACCAAAAATTAACAGACAGATAGATGGATGGATGTAAAGGCAAACAGAGTGGTTACAGTAGTTACTGAAATGCCAATAAATTCACACACTTTCTGCATCAAATATCTTAGTGCATTACAGCAGCAATAGCAAATAATATTGAAAACTCTGCCCCTTGCCTTCTCCAATATTTGCCATAAAGGTCTACAAACAGACTGCTGCAGAATGTTTATAAAACAAAGGAAAACATTTCTAAACAGGTCCATTTTCTGGTAGAAAATATTAAAAATGATAGTCGGTCAAAGTAAACAATAGAGTATTACTGTCATTCACATGAAGCCAAGGCAAGCAGGGGCAACCTCTCAATTTTTTTTTTTAACAGGTCAGAAGAGTTTAAAGATTGTATTAAACCCAAATCTAATGCACACTGAACTCTCTCCTATGATATGCAACGGGAGTATTCTTTCCTCATAAATCTGCATGCTAATCCAGATCATTTATTAAAGAAGTGTATTTTATATCTGTGGAGTATATCACGTAACTTCTTGGCAAAGGTAATAGCATTTTTTCACTAACTGTTAAAATTCCTTGTGTAAGTTTAAACAGCCCTTTCAAGCAAACAAAGCAGCATCGGGAATCACAGATCCATCGCCGCAAAGTGCGCTGAGCTTCGTCAGTGAACTCATTTCCAACAACCCTTACTACAGTACGAACCCGTTCCAAATCACATATTGCTTTCAATGATATTTAAGTGTTTGAAATACCTCACAAGAGGTCTGACAAACTCAGTCTCAGTAAACAAAAGTAGTCCCTTGGTAAAGCCTCTAAAAGAATTTAGCAGTATTTAAAATAAAAGCACGCAGCAGAACATACTAGGAAGAGAAAGAAAACAAAGGCTCCTAGCCGCATCTGGACCAAATTTGACCTTTGTTAACATATTTGGTAGTAATTTACAAACGTTACATACTGCTTCGTCAAGAGTTTTGGCCTGCTGGCTCATTCAAATGATAGGTTCGGTGTTACGATGAAATATTAACAAAAACTCAAAGATGAAAACTAACCGTGCGGCACTGCACGTGCCCATCAGCTCGGGCAGACGAGCCCAACGGCCACCAAGCAACTGAATATATTCTCATTTTTTCCAATCAACACCTGCATGGTTCTAGGTTACGTACTGATGTCTTCACCTGACATCTGCAGCACGGGACCTTCAAAATTTCAATCAAAAACTAAAAACAAAAGCCCACCAGAACTTAATTACTGGGTTTCTAGAGAATACTAATCAACATTTCACTGAAGGGGAATTTGTTCTGGTTCAGTCAAACCAGGCAAAGCAAAACCCCATTAAACTGGCCCTGGGTTTTTAAGGGAATTTGATCTGGTTATTCTTTGTTAGCTAGAGCTGTGGTATTGGAAGTCAACACGACCTCTCTAGACTTAGTAGTATTATATCTCACTCCAAGCTCTAGCTGCATAGCAGAGGAAAACATGAAATTCTAGAAAGCATTTGGGGGGAAAAAAACCCAACTATCAGCCTCTTCAAGTAAAACATGTTAGTACAAGAAACAATGTATCAGAGAAAACTTCTGACGGAAAACCGCATTTCAGTGAAGAGAGATGTCCAGCCAGCATTAATGATGTTAAATTCAGAAACAAAACATGAACACATGCACAGAACTCGCTAAAGGCTATCACTAAACGATGTAGGTGTGTACATGTTACACGGGCACCTATAGCACAGGTGTCTGAAATAACATTATCTGCTCCCATCTACCTTTAAAACTCACAGCTCACACAGATTGCTGGATATTAGCAAATCATTTTAATGCCATTATGAGAAAAAAGAGATGAGCTATAAGGAGTCTGACCAGCCATTAAAACAACTCAAACAAGTTGTTTCCCCCAGTAGTCTGAGCATTAACAGAGTATTTGAACAGTTCCCGATTCTGCTGCATTTCGGGGAGCCTGTCCGTTCCAAAGCTGCCCCTCCACGGCCGGCAGCAAAGCCGGAGCCTCCGCTCCCCGGCACGCTCGCTCCGCGCCGTGGGAGGAGAGCAGCGGGAAGGCAGACGCCGAACCCAGAGCTCCGCCGAGGGGGAACGTGCCCACCGACACCCGCCGTCCCTTCCTCCGCCCTGCCCGGAGCCCGCGGAGCAGCCGGTGCAGATAGCGGCCGTGCCACAATAGGAATAAATCACAGAACGCTTTCCCTCCCATCACGGCAGGTGTAATTAAGCAGCCCACCAACAATGCCTATGTGTGGTGAGGGAACTTGGGTCTAACGACTAATCTCACTCTTAATAATACTCCACATTACTACGAAATGGTGAACACTCCCCCAGCGCAGTATTAGGCACATTTAGGAACTGCTTGAAATTTGGAGGAGTGCTGTCTGAAGCCTGCGTGTTCACCCTGCACGCGTACACCAGGGAACTGCTGGAACAAATACCACGGATGCAAATCCCCGTCGACTAAAAAGGTTTAAAATCTCCGTCACTGGATAAATAAAGCCTTTTCTTAACACAGTTGCAAACACTTGGGAGTATGGCAATGTAAAGTTAAATGATTTCTAGTAACCGAGGAGAACAGCCTGTTTTGTCTCACCTATTGTATCTTTATCACTTCCAACAACAGTTAAAGTAAATTCTCCACTGGTCTATGTGAATTTCCTCGTCCGAAGAACCAGCCCATTCAAATCCTTCAAGTGACTAAAGTGTGAAACAAAATGAGCACCTCTATGCATTGTTGTAAAACTGGTTTGCTATTTTATGTTAAGCCTCCAAAATACTAAAACATATCCTTATATAGGAACACATTAAATGGTTTTCCTTCCAAGTGATGAACTGTTTTAACAGCAACATTGTGGTTATCGCGACCAGAAAGCAATTACTTATTTCACTAGATGTTACTAAGAATAGTGGTGATCAAAGTGAACGTAGGAGTGCTGTTACAGACGTTAAAGAAAGCATCGCTCCATATGACACATATACACAAAATATACATAATTTTAAGACAAATTACACTTTTAATAAATGTGCTGTTCAAGATTAAATCACTGCTCAGGATTTTTTTTAAATCCATGAAATTAAGATCTATGGAATAAGTTACTCTTCTAAAATCTATTTCTAAATACAGCACGGTGTGTAGATCTGCATATCTGTATGTGTGTGTGTGTGTGTGTGTGTGAGAGCGGACACATAACCGGGGATGCGTGTGTGTGTGTTGTGAGAGAACGTATATATGTGTTCGAGTCTGCCAAGGTAGAAGTGACAGGAACTGTGATTTGTGCTAACTAGCTATTGATCCAGTCAGATCTAGATGTTGTGTACAAGAAACAATAAAAGAGAAGGGGCCAGGAAGGATGCTGTGTGCAACTCCATTTAAAAATGGAAAAGAAGGGCCCCAAACAAACCAATTTATGTCCTTGCCTGGGTGAAGCATGGAGAATGCTGATGGGCTTCCCAGAGTCTGCTGTGCATGCTAAACACTCCCGCTTGAAATGAGAGTCTCCTGCACTGGGCATTAAACATGAACAAAGAGACAAACCGTGGGGGCTAGGATTCACGCTTCAGAAAGCCAAAGCTGGAAAGCCAACCAGAACTGGGGGTAGGAAATTGCCCAGTTTTCAAACCAGCTCCCTTTTGATTTTCCCAACACCTTTCTTCGCAAAATTACTAAACGCGGAGGACTGTAAAAAGTCAGTCTGTACAACCAGATGTAATGAAAACAATTTTAAACTACACTAGCAGTACCAAAACATCAACTTTCCTAGGCACAATTAATGAGTTTATATTGCGTAAATTACGCACGTGTACTCAGAGCACATCAAAAAATTGCCTGCATGCATTCATCCAGCAGGTACCTGCACGTGCATCTATTGTAATATTCACACACACGGTCAGGCAGCTTGGAAAACACGGCTTTGATAAGATAAAATAGAAACCAATTGAATCTATAATCATCTTTATCTTAAACAGCTTTTATAATAGAGGGCTTTCCATTAAAATATTTTTTCCTGAGCTTGGGGAATTATGATGCCCTCTGGACACAGGGCAGGATCAAAAATGACAACTAATGTTGAAATTAAACATCTGTCAACTAAGCAAGTTTTATACCAGCAGACTCAGAGCCTTATTTTAAATTGCCTTTCTATTAAAGAAAAAAAAAATGTTAAGAGCCTTTCAGTTTGGTCTCGCGCTGCCAGTAGGCTCTTAATGCAAGCAGGGAAATACCTGGAATCGGAGGGTCAGCACCACTAACAAATTTGTGTTTTCACGGTTTAGGAAGATCTCTGTAACAGTTTGGGGGAAATGGCTGGAAGGCTCGGCCAGCACAGGGCCCTACGGGAGCCCCCTCCTCGGCACCCCATGCCCGGCAGGGCTCTGCGCAGAGCCCCC